ACTGATGATTAACATGCTGTAATACACAGTTCAAAATTAAAAGCTCAAACGCTCTACAAGAGAGGTTAAGCTCCCCCTGGCGGTTTTACAAGGTGACGCCAGATAGTTTCCGGCAGAGCGTCAAATGACGCGTTACACTGCGTGATACCGCGACACGCCCACCGGGGTATGCCGCGAAATACCCCACACATTTTGAATGGCTGCATCTGTATTTGGCGACGTCGATTTTTATGGACGGCCACCAAAAGTCCTTTGAAATTAATTCAAGGGGGCCAGGGTGACCGGTGAAATGGGAGTCATGACCCCACTGAAGGACTGCTGAGCGGATGGGATTGGAGACAAAAATTTTGTCCGGAGGGCATTGGGGAGGGACCATTTCACCAACCAGGGCATGTCTGACATTGGTCTTCAATGTCCCACTTGACAGCCGCGAGAATCTTGCTGGGATGGATAATGGGCTCAGACTTGTCCTCTGCTTCAGGAGGGTCGTGGAGGCGGGAGAGAGCATCGGCCTTAATGTTCTTGGATCCAGGAGAATATGTGACGACAGAGCTAAACCTAGAAAAGAATACTAATGAAAGACAGAATACTAATGAAAGACAGTCCCCCTTCCCCCCACAGACTGACAAATGTTTTATCAGAAAAAGAGATTCACAACGCAAAGCTGTGTCAGTCTTCTGTGTAAAAAATCAGTTCGGTGCTGTTTTTAACAAGCTCCTCAGTAAAGAATAGGAATTTTCCTGCTGTCAGCAGTATTGGGTATATAGTTTACATAAATATATATTCTATATTGACAAAGGCTAAACCTTTAGTTTCAGTAATGCATATGCTGTATAACCGACATTACATACATGTTTGTAATAACAATATAGTGTCGATAATATTTATTCTCAGAAATAATATCAGTAGCAGTTTAAAATTATTCGTTGTTATTAATAAATGACTATAGTGTCCATAATATTTGCTATTTTAGTTTTTCAAAGAAATGTTTATTTGTTAAAAGAAAACTAATGGCAATAGCTGGGTTTGAACACTGGACCTCAGGTTTATAAAGCACACACTTAAGCCATCGCACCACAGATGCAGTCACATGGAAAGTAGTGAAACGGACGTACACATATCCGCAGAAATTCTTATACTACTGTTTGAGCTACAGTATATGAATATAATTATATCATTATTAATTTCTTTAGATACCCAATTCCATATTATATTCCCCATTTATCAAATTCTAAAAATATGCTTTTGTTTACTCCAATAAAGAACGTATTCGCAGAAAAGGTTAAAACATTATCACTTTTCACAAAGTATATAAACTTAA